GACAGGGCGACAGAGTGACAGAGTGATAGAGTGACAGAATGACAGTGACAGAGTGATAGAGTGAGAGAAAGACACTGACAGAGTGACAGAATGATGCTCACAGAGTGACAGAAAGACACTGACTGAGTGACAGAAAGACAGTGACAGAGTGAGAGAATGACAGAGTGAGAGAATGACAGTGACAGAGTGATAGAGTGACAGAGTGAGAGAATGACAGTGACAAAAGATGTAGGAGGGAAAGACCAGCGTACGAGTCACAGCTGACGGATGATTGTCAGTTTCAGTTCGATTTAATGAGCCTCTCACTTGCGTTCTCTCCAGAGAGGTGACGGTAAAAGAGCATTGATCAGGAGCGGGGACAAAGGCCTGGGCTGCTGAGTGCCAAAGCTCTGTTTCATTGCTTCACTCTTACATCGATGTTGCTAACAAGAACATTTCTAGCAGGCAGAGAGAAGAATTTTACTACAAAACGCTCAGCGTATGTAAGACAGCTAATTTTTTCCAGATGTGACAAAGCAACAGTTAAAAACAGTGAGGCACATTTGGTGTGTAACGTTACTTAATAATTATTAACTTCTCCAATTTTTTTGATGACCAATGAAACCACAGTGTCCCTTCTTCTTGTAGTAACCGTTAACAGAAGGACTGCGTCCTTTCCCCTTCAGTGAAGTATCTTTTCCACCAGGTGAAATTTATTCTTGTTTGCCTTCAGGTCAAAAATAGTTAATGCTACGGATTAACCATGGATGTCTCCACCTCTGTGGAAGCCTAAAAAGTTCTTCAGTTGTTCCTCTAGAGGAACCCTTAAAGATTCTACAACAGAGTGTTTCCGCATCAGATAGGGAAAACTTTAGCAAACCTTTAGGAGATGCTGAATCCTTAAAGAACACTAGATATTAAGAAGAAATGATGAGCAATAATTAGTTTGTACTGCACACTTTCCCAGTTAATACACACACTCTTAGAAAAAAACGAGTTCTTCGGGGGTTCTTTGGATTATTAAGATGTGTGTAAAGCTGATAAAACTCACATTCCTCTGGGGGTCTTAACTGTAATTCACTTTAGATGACTGTTAATTTGGTCAGAGGTTAAAACCCTTAATTATTCAATAAACCCTTGAAGAACCCTTGAAGAACCTTTTTTTCCCAAAAAAATTCCAAGGCAGTTTAGCTTGATGTTAAACCCCTGACAGGTTCTAGATATTAACAAGAAATTAATGAGCAATAATTTTTTTACCCAGTTAAAGTTCTTCAAATGTTCTTTAAGGATTCTGTGGAGAATTAAGGATTTCCAAAAAAAAGGATAATACTGATTTTACTGACTTTCCCATTTCCATCCTGATCCTCTCTTCTCCTCGTTTTCTGCTCCTTCTCTTCTACACTCAGCCCACTTCCCCTTCACCGCTCCTAAACATCCTCCATTTTATGAGGTTCCGGGGAAAACCAAGCCGTTCCTCGAGAGTCTGGGAGGTATTATATCACACGCACTACCCACAGGAAGAGGCTTCCTCTCAGATTTCCCCTCTCTGCCACCCTGGGGCTGACAGCTGGCTGGCACACACGGGGCAACTGGCAGCTGGCACGCAAGAGCAGAGAGAGCCAAGAACAAAACCGGAGAAAAGCCATCAAAGAATCAAGCACATGAGGAAATAGACGGAGGAGATCAAATGGAGAAAAGCGGTAATGACAACAATTATCCCAGGATAGCTCGCTCGCTCACTCACTGGGTTTCCCATCTGTGTCGATTACTTATACATTTTCATCCGTTAAAGGAATACTCCATTTTTATCTCTAATCTCCGTGATTACCACTGATGAGAATTTGGACTCATTTCCCTGCACTGAGAAAACACTTATAGTAGAAGTCTAAGGGCAGATGTTCATCTCCACCATTAAATGTTTAAATTTATAAGTACAAATTTAAATCTGCAGCCGTTCCACAGGAACAATGAGACAGACCTGAGAGGAAATCTTCTAATAAAAGATCTTAAGGACTTTTATCCAACTTTCCAACAGTAAAAAGTAGTTCTGTTGTAGTAACTTTACACGTTCCTGAAGGTTTTGTGTTTCCATACGCCATCAGAGACACACAACTCACAAATTCCTCCCTCTGAAAAAGTAGCTCCATCTCAGAAAGGAGCGATTTGACACCTTTACAGCTTCATTTACACACAAATATATATTTAACTGAAGAATTTAATGAAAGTGTGGAGACAGAAAGTTCAAAAGTTCCACCCTTAGTCCTCTGAAATTTACGGCATTTGGCAGGCGCACTTATCCAACGGAGGGTTAAGGGCCTTGCTCATGGGCCCAGGAGTGGCAGCTTGGTGGTGCTGAGATTTGATCTCACAACCTTCTGATCAGAAGTCCAACATATTAACCACTGAGCTACCACTTCCCTGTTAATACATTTTAAAATATTTTTAAAAAAATTCCTGTACTCTGAGGAGGACAAAAAAACAAGGAGGACGAAGATGATGGGGTGAAGTCACATGGTCTCTTTGTTCTCCCGCTACACCGCGCTCATGAGGCAGAAATATAAATTGAAATAATGTAGGGAAAAAGAACAGTTTAATAAAAGCTTGGAGAAACAGTATGACGTCTGATCGAATGTTCACTTACCCATAACACAGTCATTCTGGCGCATCTGAGCACAGCCGAGCCTCCGTAATTTAAAGTATTGAATGTTTGGCTGCATCTGAGCTCCGAGGCCTTCGTGTCAATAAACGATTCAATACGCGAGGGAGAAAAAACCCTGAGGAGCGTCCAGAACCCGGTCATGTGACCTGCACGCTGGGAATAAACACACGTGGAGCCGCTTCTTTAGGGTAGTGCATCAGTGCAGAGACACAAGCTGGAGGGAAAGAAAGGAAGGAAGGAAGGAAGGAAGGAAGGAAAGCCTCTACTAAAAAAAGAAAGAAAGAAAGAACGAAAGACTCTACAAATGAATGAAAGAAAGAAAGAAAGAAAGCCTCTACAATGAAAGATAGATAGAAAAAAGAAAGAAAAGCTCTATGTATGTATGAAAGAAAGAAAGAAAGAAAGAAAGCCTCTACAAACGAAAGAAAGATAGAAAAAAGAAAGAAAGAAAGCCTCTACTAAAGAAAGAAAGACTCTACAAATGAAAGAAAGAAAGAAAGGCTCTATGCATGAAAGAAAAAAGAAAGAAAGAAAGAAAGGAAGGAAGGAAGGAAGGAAGGAAGGAAGGAAAGCCTCTATAAATGAAAGAAAGAAAGCCTCTACTAAAAAAAGAAAGAAAGAAAGAAAGAAAGAAAGACTCTACAAATGAATGAAAGAAAGAAAGAAAGAAAGAAAGAAAGAAAGCCTCTACAAATGAAAGATAGATAGAAAAAAGAAAGAAAGAAAGGCTCTATGTATGTATGAAAGAAAGAAAGAAAGAAAGAAAGAAAGAAAGCAAGCCTCTACAAACGAAAGAAAGATAGAAAAAAGAAAGAAAGAAAGCCTCTACAAATGAAAGAAAGGCTCTATGCATGAAAGAAAAAAGAAAGAAAGAAAGAAAGAAAGAAAGGCTCTATGCATGAAAGAAAAAAGAAAAAAGAAAGAAAGAAAGATAGAAAGAAAGAAAGAAAGGTTCTGTGTATATATGAAAGAAAGAAAGAAAGAAAGGCTCTATGCATGAAAGAAAAAAGAAAAAAGAAAGAAAGGAAGAGAGAGAGAAAGAAAGATGTCTACTTTCCCCTGAAGTTGCCAGACCTCGAGCGCTCTCAGGCCTGATCAGTTAAAATTATAATATAGTATTAAGTATAAAATTAATTTTAATTATAATTATATATTATAATAATGGGGGG